CCCCCCAAATTAAGCTGGAAGCCAGACGGTGGAGGCACAAGCCTTTAATCCCAGCACTTGGGAGGCAGAGGCAGGCAGAGTTCTAGGACAATCTGGGCTACATGGAGAAACCCTGTCTCAAAAACAAACAAAAATCTCAGAGGAGTCACTCTGACTGCTAGGACCACCCTCTCTTCACACACGCTCTTTATTCATCCAGAGAGCTTTTCTTGTAGAGATCGTGGCTTCACTTTCTTCTTTCATACTTTCTTTACTAAAGATGGGTTGATAAATGAACAGGGCCCTGCACTTGAAAGGTTCAAATCTGTGCATTTAAGGTGTCATTTACCTTGATGGATAGGCATATTGGAATGGCTTATCTTGCATTCTTGTCTGGTAGAATCATTAAGGAGAGGGCTTTGGCTGTTCTGTGGAAAGTTAAAAGCTCACTTAGCTAACAGGAAACAAGTAAAAGCACAAAGGACAAGCTGAGGCTGAGGACATTAGCCCATGTGGGCCTTAGACATAGTCAAGAGAATAAGAATATACCCTTGCCCTTTGTCGGAGACAGCCTCTAGATAAGTAGTCCATGGTGGCCTTGAACTCTCTGTCCTCTGCCTTGGTTTGTCTAGTGCTGAAATTATGGTTGTGCCCCACTACGATTGGCATTATCACAAGTTTTTCAAAATAATTTTTATTTATCTGTATGGATGCTTTGCCTACATGTTTGTCTGTATACTACATGCATACAGTGCCTGAGGAGGCCAGAAGAGGGTGTCGGGGCCCTTGGGACTCAAGTTAACAGATGGTTGTGATCTGCCAGCCATGTGGGTGCTAGGAATCAAACCTGGGTCCTTTGGAAAAGCAGCCAGTACTATTAACCACTGAGCCATCCCTCCAGCCCCTATCACAGGGTAGCACTATGTAGCTCTAGCTGGCCTGGAATTTACTATGTAGATAAGGCTGGCTTCAAATTTCCAGAGTTCTGCCAGACCCCCTATGAAGCTTGGGTTGCCATTAAACTTGTCCCAGTCTTCCTGCTTCCACCTCCTAGAGTTAAGATTACAGGTGTGTAACCAACACATCTGGCTCATTGTACAATTTGATAGCAGATAAGGTCTTACTTCGGGCACATAAAGTAGTGGAATTTTTCACCAATTAGATCAGAACAAAACTGCTGAAATGTTCTTACATGTAATTAGTACATTTGGAAATGTTATACTGTATTAATGTTCTGAATATTCTCTGTTCTCTAATAGAAGTATTAAAATGAATTTTAATGTCTGGAATATCAAAGAGATGCTCAGTATTCCCTCAGGCTCTGGGTAAGTTTCCTAGGTTTTTGTTTTTTGTTGTTTTGTTTTGTTTTGATATTTAAGTCCTATGGTTTTATTGATTTCCTAGAAAATCTCATTCCTATAGCTGGAGTGGCTGTTGAATAATGCTAGAGTTTCTATATTGGCTCTCTTTTTCTTCTCCTCCATTACTGCTATTCCTTTTTATGCTTGTTCTTTTCCTCCCACTTGTTTTCAGATTGGAAAAGTGATGTCAGGTTAGGGGAGATAGCCGAGGGTAAAGTGTTTGCCTGTCAAATATGAAGACTTGAGTTTGAATCCCCAAACCCCTATAGAAAGTTGGGCAGAGTGACATGTGCCTGATATCCCATCCATGATGAGTTGGGAGATAAAGACAGCTCTGGAAGTTCACAGGCTAGCCAGCTTGGCCTGTGTGGCAAAGTTTTAATGAGAGACCTTGTCTCCAACAAAAGATGGAAGGCACCTAAGGACAAGCAAGCACCCAGTGTTGTCCTCTGATTTCCTTACAGATGCTGTTCATACACACACACACACACACACACACACACACACACACACACGTACATGTACACCTGCATCCACATGACTATGCATTAGAACATCTATACAGACACACCCATAGATAGTATCAATGCAGCTCTGTATATCAGCTCTGTATACAACATTCAGTCTTGGGACTGGATCTGTGAGAATCAGATATAGAGCCCCAAATCTTGAAACTGACCTGAATTAAGCAATGCTTTTGGAATAGAAAGAAATAAAATAAGTACAGTGTTCAATGTCTGTTTGTGTGATGTAATTTGTAGCTGCTCTGAAGAGAAGAGCCACTCCAGCTACCAGCAAGACCCAGTGGGATACTGTGCATGCTGTGTCCACTGTCCACTGAGGTTTTAGACTAGTGTCCACCAGGCTGCAATAAACCTACCATTTCTAAATTGGGGGGAGGACTCTCTGAAAAGGGATTTAAATTGTTTTTTGCATGCCTGCATCACTGGATAGTTTTTTTCTTTCTTTCCTAACACTTTGCCAAAAAAACTTGCCAATTTGATTTAAAAAAAAAAGAAAAAAAAAAAAACCCTAGGGTCTGTAGTGATGGCTCCAGTTAAGAGCACTTACTGCTTTTGCAGAGGACCCAGGTTCAGTTCCCAGTGCCCATGTGGTGGTTTGCAGCCATCTGTAACTCCAGTTCCAGGGGATCTAACACCCTTACCTCGTTGGGCACTAAACACATGGTACATGGTATATGTACATACATGCAGGCACATCCACATAGAATTAAGTAAATATTATTTTAAAACCCACTCTTCTCTTTATTTCTCCAAAAGGGCTTGCTGTTTATATAAAGTAGAGAAAACTTTAATTCTGTCATTTCTGTCATTGCTCTAAGGCACAATCCTATGTCAGGCTGGGCAGTGATGTTACATGCCATTAATCCCAGCACTTGGGAGGCATAGGCAGATAGATCTCTTGAGTTCCAGACCAGCCTGGTCTACAGAGTGAGTTCCAGGACAGCCAGGGCCATACAGAGAAACCCTGTCTTGAAAAACCAAAAAAAAAAAAGAAAAAGAAAGAAAGAAAAAGAAAAGATAAAAAAAAACCTTTCAGAGATATAAGCATTCAGTCCATATTAAGGCTTAATTTGTAGTTAAATTTTTCTACATTTATTGTGTTATTGTGTGTGAGTGTATGCTTGTTTTGTTTTTGAGGCAGTTTCTATACATAGCTCTGGCAGTTCTGTAACTCATTTATGTAGACCAGGCCAGCCTTTAACTCACAAAGATCTGCCTGCCTCTGCCTTGTGAGTTTCTGGGATTAAAGGCTTGTAACAGAGTTAAAGCCACCCCCAGCTCAGGCGCTTGTGTTTGTATTGTTACAGCTCCTTCTCTCTCCAGTCCTGTTCCCCTTCCTTCACTTTCCAAATGTTAGGTTAAAAATATGTATTTATATAGGTTTAAAAACTCACACAAATGGCTGGGCAGTGGTGGCACACGCCTTTGATCCCAGCACTCAGGAGGCAGAGCCAGGCGGATCTCTGTGAGATCCAGGACAGGCACCAAAACTACACAGAGAAACCGTGTCTCGGAAAAAAAAATTTCACAAAGATGATATGTAATAGAGTTCACTTTAAGTAAAGTTCTACTGTTTAAATTTGTTGTGTGTTTGGGTGAGGGCACATAAGCTATGGTATGTGTGTGAAATTCAGAGGAGCCGATTCTCCTCTCCTGCCTTTATGAGTTCCAGGTTGTCAGTTTACCAGGCTTGTGTGGCAAGTACCTCTACCTGTTGAGCAGTCTTTCCCTAACAGTTTTTACTTTTTTGTACTCAAAATTATTTTTGGCCAGGCATGATGGTGCATACCTTTAGTCCCTACACTTGGGAGTCAGAAGTAGGTGGATCTATGTGAGTTTGAGGCCAGCCTGGTCTACAAAACAAGTTCCAGATCGTCCCGGAATATACAGAGAAACGCTGTCTCAAAAAAGCAATAAAACAGCAATGAAATTATTTTTGTTTTGTTTTGTTTTGGTTTTTTTCAAGACAGGGTTTCTCTGTGTAACTTTGGTGGCTGTCCTGGATATCGCTCTGTAGACCAGGCTGGACTTGAACTCACAGAGATCCACCTGGCTCTGCCTCAGAGTGCTGGGATTAAAGGTGTGCACCACCGCAGCCCGGCACAAATTTGTTTTTTTTTTTTTTTTTTTTTTAAAGAAGTCTCTTAATCCCTAAAAGTTTTATAAACTTTTGTCTAAAAAATGGTGTTATAGCTCAAATGCTGTGATACTGGAATAGTTGTGTCCATCCTTTCTGTTGAATTTCCATTTGCTTGTTCTCCAGTTGGCAGATTCCAAGTGTGGGCATTCATAATTTCCTCGTGGTTCTGTAGAGGTCATCGAGGCAGTATAGAGAGCACTTAGAGGTCAACACAAATACTCCCAGAGCTACAGAACAGAGAGACCCTGTTTCAACAGCAAAACAGAATACTCTGAAATAGTGGCTGTGAGTTATGATTTCATTTGTTCAGGATGTTTGTTTACTTAATGTTTTCTTGCTTCATTTCAGGATCACTAAACCATCTAACTGGAATAGTAATCAGACTGATTGTTCTTCTCTCAGTGATTCCCAGTTCCTCTTTGGATCTCAGTTTTGTCCAGAAAATTCAGAGATTCTGTCCACATCCTTGGATGTTGGTGCCTACTCAAGACATTCAAAACAGACACAACAGAATTCTGTAGATGTGAGTCTGATTTCCAGCTAGTTAAATTTTTCTTTTTGAGACAGAATCTTGCTGTGGAGGCCAGTCTAAACTTCATCCTCCTGTCTCAGCCTCCTGGTTATTGGGGTTGTAGGTATAAGCCACCATCCTAATTCTGTTTTCTGGAATTTCTTTGTACATATTTCATAGTTCTTATGGAGATGAGCTAAAAAGAGAATTATTCTATTGGAATATGAACATACTTTAGAATTGTACTCTGAAGATTACTATCCTAAATGGATTAGTGCTTGATTGATGACACTTGGTTTGCTTTAGCGTGGATTTTGAGTCAGGGTCTCACTGTGTAGCCTTGGCTGTCCTGGAACCCTTTATACAGACCAGGTTATATATATCAAGATATATAGCCTTGAATCAGAGATCTGCCTGCCTCCCCCTGAATATTGGGATAAAAGCATCCACTACCATTCCCAGCTGATTCATAACTGGCTTAATTAACCTAGAAGTCTGAAATTTAAAACACTTCTATGGCCAGGCAGTGGTGACCCAACACTAGGGAGGCAGAGGCAGGCATATCTCTGTTAGTTCAAGGCTTGCCTAGTCTACAAAGTAAGTTCCAGGATAGCCAGAGCTACTACACAGAAAAACCATATCTTGAAAAAAAAAAAAAAAAACCAAACAAAATAAAAACTACTTATATGTATAGTTTCTTTTTTTGCCAAAACAACATAGAGTAGTGTCAATCCCTTGACCATTTGTTTTTTGGGAGAGGCAAATATTCATATTTCCTAGCCTAATCATATACTATTATGAAAACTCATAAGAAACAATGGCTTTTTATGATGAATTTATTTGTTTGTTTGTTTTATTAGACAAAACCTAGAACTAACTGTGTAGACCAGGCTGGCCATGAACTCACAGAGATCCACCTGCCTCTTGCTTGAGAATCCTGGGATTCAAGGCATGCACCATCATACTTGACGCTTTTGTAAATAGGAGTAAAGGGGGTTAGAACAATGACTCAGTGGGACAAGGGCTTATAGACTTGAAGACCTGAGTTAGAATTCCTAGAGCTCATGTAGAATTCAGGCTTGGCAGCACATATCTGTAACCTTGCATTCATTCAAGGAGATTCAAGAGAGAAACAGGAGTCCAACTGTTGTGGCCACTTTGCAAGACCCCCGAGCAAGACCACCACAGAGCCAATATCTGATGCAAAACACAAAGGGGTTTATGACAAACAAGCAAACCCAGGCTTGGTCAGCGTCCAACTTCGGACACAGCGGGTGGAGGAGGACCGCCCTGAGCTCTCAGAATGAGGGGTTTTTAAAGGGAAAAACCGCAAACAGGGTGGTACAAGCATTGGCGTCATATGATTGGGTGAGGGTCTGTAACCTTGAATTTACTGGTTGGGGGTTACAGTTATCATTTTTGGGCAGGCCTGGACAAGTCCCAGGCTTTGTCCTTGAGTTGCCATGGAGACTATCTGGCTTCACACGTTCACATTGACTCATGCATGTAGCTCTAAGTTGGTCAGTGGTCCCAAATAGTGAACAATTGACTGAACATTGAACAGTCAGAGTACATGTAGAAAGCGAACTACTGCAAGGACTATGTTTTTTGTTCATGGTGCTCCCAGAAACTGCTTGCTCAAGTCTCAGGAAACTGAAATTGAGGCCTGATCTCTGAGAGAAGACTGAGCAGCCTATTACAGCATCTACTTGGTCGTTTCACAACAGGCCAGCTAGCCTGTCATATACAGCAGTGAAGAACAAAGACCAACTCTTCCTCCAACACCTGAGGTTGTCCTCTGACCTCCACATGCCCACAGT